GCCATTTATATCATGGAGTCTAATCTGCTTTTCTCTGAGGACTTTAAATTAGCTGCCTGGTGGCCTTTTTTGTTAGACATTTTGAAAGAATTTTTGCAATTATTTCACATCTATTCATAAGTAGGTTCCAGTGGATTAGATGTGTCCTACTTGGAGGAAGCGAGGCTAAAAGCAGCTGATTTAAGGAGAGTTGAGAGCATTCATCAACTGTGTAACTGGAGTAAATGCTGGTTCCAGATCTGACTTCATAGTTCCATTAAAAATCTCCAGTAACCACTTACAAAGCTAAGACCACATAATTGTAGCTTCTGGACTTCTACTTTTATGCTGCAGTGAACTAGAATTATATTTTCTGGCTGACTCAGGAAATCCAGCATTCCCTCTGTTTCATACTAGCCAAAAAGGAGGCCCTGTAACTGCTTAAATTACACTGACCAAATTGGGAACAAATAAATGCATAAAGAAATGTTGAACTGGCTGTTAGAACTCAAGCTCAAAATAAGAATTGTAGAAATAATATAATTTGAGTTGGGAAGGATCTTTGAGATCTATACCACATATGTAGTAATAAACATGGAATATAAAGATGGGTGATATTTTATATAGTCATGCATGAGCCTACATGTGCAGGGAAATGGGAGACAAGCCAATGACTTTCTCCTGCTTTAACAACTTAGGAGAGATCGTTTTGTAAATCAAGGGGAGGCAAAAAAGACTCGCCCAACAGCACGAAGAGAAGAGCCAGGGTTTGAGAGGTATCCCAAGGGCTTCAGTGAGTCCAGAAGAAATGAACCCCCTCAGCCACGCAGTGAACTTCGGGACACGGACAGACGGGAAGTGCGGGGAGACAGAGATGAAAGGAGAACAGTGATAATTCACGACAGACCCGAAATTCCACACGGGAGACATCCCAGAGAGACTGGTTCCAACCCACCTAGGCAAACAAATTGGAAGAGTGAGGGAAGCATAAGCACAGACAAACGGGATGGCAGGTAAGTTTGCTGGTTAACCAGGGAAAGTACTGATTCCTGTAGAATTTATCCATGGTAGCAATTCCTCAAGAACTGATGAACAAAGAAAGAATAGACCCCGCTCTCCCTAAGGAAAGGCAAAGTTGCTTTCCAAAAGCATTGGAAAAAATGTTATGTAGGTTGTCAAATGCTATATCTCATCTGTGAACTGGATGCTGACTCCCAGCAGTCTGTTAATTGTGTGTAACAACACAGAGCAAGGAGGCTCTTGTGCAGAATACAGATGCAAACAAGCACCACGTGAGCTTTAGTTATTAGAGAGCCACAGAGACCTGAAGGAATGTTTCTGAGAAGTCAGCTGTGGGTTGGTAGGAACCTGCAAACCGAAGGAATCTTTGCTGTCCACATGTGCTGCGATTTGGTACCAGTTCAATCGTCCTGAAACCCCCATTTTGATGGAAGCAATTTTTGCAGAGGCGACCGGCCGGAGCGCTCGGGAAGGGAAGTGTCCGGCCACGTGAGAGGGGCCCCTCCCGGCAGCCGCAGCAGCGCCTCGGGCTACGGGGGCAGGGAAGGAGAACGAGGCGTGATGGGAGAAAGAGGTGGAGGACAAGTGAGTCATCCTGTGTGTCTGTCTGCATGAGTGAGAGGCTGGAAAATGCAAATTCATCCTGGAAAAATGACCATACGGCATCATAAAATGATTAGCAAGTGTTCAGGCCATTTTCAGCTTGGTTTGCTTTATGTTAAAGGTTCTTTTTTGTCAGGTTTTTTAATAACCCAAGAAATTGCAGAAAACTTACCCAATTCTTTTCATGTTTAGAATCTTTATGGTAGATCAGAACAGTGTAATAATACAATGCCTGAGTGAGTGGATGATAAAGCTTTTAAGATTTCATTGTCATCCTGTTTTCAGGGTCTTAACCTCACACTGCCTGCTACTTCCAGTGCAGTTTGTCATTGTAATCTGTAACGTGCTACAGAGAGAAAAACCTTCTGCGTGGCTTGTCTTTAAAGACTACAGACTAGATTTTCCTGCAAGTACGTCCTGAAGCATTAAAAACGTGTTAGTGTTCCTCTTTTGAGCTTTCTGTTAGTGATTAGGAGGTCAGGGCAGAATTGGGAGTAAAGTATGAGTTCATGGAGCTTCACTCCCTGCATACCCACACACTCATCATTGGAACTAAGTTCCTGTTACCTACAATTATTTTTCACAGGAATATTGTAAACCTGTGTTAGCTGCCTATGGACTGAAATCTTAAAAGGTGCTGGACTGCTGTGCATTATGGAAGCTGTAGGATTAGCTTTCTTGAACAGCTTGTTTCCTGTGGATAAATCCCCCTTTCATTGTGGAGTGGCTGACTGTGGCTCTCTTACCAGCACTACAACGAGGACAGACACGTCGTGGAACGGCACAGTCGTGAAACTGGACCAAGGAAAGAGTGGCACGGGCCTGGTTCCCAGGGCAGTGGGTACCACGACACCAGGAGGATGGGAGATGGCCGTGGAGGAGGGGGCATGATGTCCCCACATACAAGGTACAGACACTGCTCCTCCCTCTCAGTTCCCTACTGAGCTCTCCACGCTTTGCTTTCCTTAGGAAGTGCAGCAGTGCCAGTGCAAGCAGCCTGACTTGTGGCTGCTGCACAGCATCCAGCCCCACCTTCCCTGCCAGCACAGGGCTCCCCAGGGCTGCTGGGGGCAGCACAGGAATGAGGGACTTCTTGCAAAGTCTCTTTTCCTGTGAGACTTAACAGTTTAACACTTGAATGATATGAGATGCAAGACTGTTATTACCTGTACAGCAAGAGTTTAGATACTTACCATAACTTACCATTTTTTTAAAACCTTTGTTTCCAGTAACTCATCACCAATTAATAGAGTTGTACAGATCACAGGCAATTCCATGCAGAGGGGAAGTGGCTCAGGATTTAAGCCATTTAAAGGTGGACCTCCACGAAGATTCTAAGATCTACAGCTGCTTGGTTTCAAGATAACTTATTGAAATCTCTTGTAAACTTTCTCTGATTAAAAACAGGAAATCTTGTCTGGAAGTCCTGGTTAAATTTTTTTAATTTAACATGATTATTTTCCTCTCAATTTTGGAGGCATTTTAATAGTTACGTTGTAATTTTGGATAGTTTTTGTGTATCTTTGATAAGCATTTTCCCTGAGGCACTAGAGCTGTGTAAAAAAGAATTGGAACCAAAATATTTGTTAATCCTGTATAAAAGAATAGTTTGCAGCTGTGTGCTAGTAGTTTGATTTGCCAACATTAGCTCTGTGGTGTCATGCTTTAAAGTTAGCTACTTCTCACAACATACACAACTATGACCTCCATTTTGAAGGTTGTCCAGGCTATTATCTCTGCTTTCTAATTTGTAGAGAAATAAGATTGTTCTTTCATTACTGGGTATTATGTAACCTATTTTTGCAGAAGGTACTGTTACATTGAGTGCATTTATGTGTATTCTTGCAAATGTATTCTTTTGAAATAAACCTTCATATTCTGTATAGCTTCTAGTAAGTCTTTTAAAGAGTCTTTGGGAAGTATGGCAGAATTAAATGGATGTGTTGGTACAGCAAATCAAAACATGGGTGCCCTTAGTTTCTAACTGTAAAACTTGTCTCCTTCACTGTTACTGAGTTGAAAACTTAGAAGCACATTTATTCACAGAAGAAAGGTCAGTTAAAAAAATAGTGGAACGTTCAGGGGAGGCCTAAAGAAATAATTTTGATTTGCTCTTTGTGTTTAGCAAAGGTCTTGTGGAACTTTGATACAGCTGTTTTCTTCACCAGACTACCCCAAACTTTGGAATCCTGTAGGTGTAGCCTTGTTCAAGGACACCCACCCCTGCTCCAAAGGGATGCATCTGGTTCAGCCTTTTGGTTTGTGTGACAGGGACTGACCCACCTCAAACCTCTATGGCCGAGTGTCAGGCAGGAGTGCCAGGCAGACAGGCCAGGACTCAGGGATCACCCAGGGGGAGGGGACAGCTCCAACCCTAATCCAGTTTGGCAGAGCTGGGGGGGTTATCCCAGTGACCAGGGGACCTGGCTAGCAGAACATGAGAGCTTAGAAAGCAGTCCTTGAATAAGAGCTGCAGGTGCTTCCTGCTCCAGACTGCCTTTTAAAGGCTTTAAGTTCCATATTTTGAGGCCTGAGGCAGCAAGAAGATGCTGATTTTGCACATGTACCTTTGCCCCCCTGTCACAGTGTGCTCACTGTGTGGAAGAACTGCTGAGGATCTGCAGAGGAATTAAGTAGCAGGAAATAAATTAAACTAAACTGGTTTTGAGTACGTAGCCTTTCAGGAAAGGTGGGAGGAGAGAGCCCTGATCTAACAGCACAGTCTGTAATTAATCCTACGTGAATATTCACAGCTGACAAATACTGAGGATTAAACAAAAGAAATGCACTGTCTCAGCAAGCACATCACTTACTTTCATGTATTTAATACATCTTCTCTGTTGTCCAGTTCTTAGAAGGAAAACGTGAGAAGTTCAATTTACTGAGTTTTGTTGCAGGAGTTTGCAAGAGAAAGTCCAAGTTCTCAGTGCATTTTAAAAAGTGCATGGATTTGGCTGCAGGCTGTGCTTCACCAGCTGTGACAACACGTGCAGAACCAGCATTTGCTCCAAGAGGAGTTTCTAGTGGCTGATGGATCAAATGGGAAATATGGAAGTTTGTAATCCTAAAAGGCAAAGCTCTAGAGAGGTACAGGAACAGAACTTGAGATGTGACTTTGTTTCTTCCACTACACATCTAGATGTGCATTCCCACAGTTAAAGCTTAATTAAATGAAAAATGTGAGTGTGTATATGTACATATTTCACTTAAAATATTAAAGTAAGATGATGGGGGAAAATAATTAAAAACAAATTGCCAAAACCTGTGAATTTATAAAATACTGAAGAGCACCAGAAGTCTGTCCTTTTCCAGAGTGAGTCTTTGTTGGGTTGTTGGGTGTTTTTAGCATATCATCCAACCTTTTATTATTAGGAAAGAACTTAAATATCTAAATGAAATATTTATTTAAGTTTGCTCACTTTATTTACATACAATGAGTTTCAGAAGACTGTTAACCAAAATAAATCTCAGTTGGGTAAAGACCTTGAACTCTAGAGAGGCTGATAACGAGAGACATTTCTAAAAGGTAACAGAATTTAACAGCTTTGTGGTACACAAACAAAAAGGGGTATTAAGATACAGAACTGGATTTCTCTGAAAATTGTGTTCAAAATTATTTTAACAATTTACAAGGAAAATGTTGTTTCCTTATAGTTTTTAAAAACACATTAATACAATATAAACAATTAAGGCTTTTAAAATGCAAAACATTCAGTAGTTGAACTTGATGCCATTACAGTGCTGGATAATGTGTAACATGATGAAAAGGATTTTAATCACATACATTGGTACAAACGATGCTGCATGACCAGATTTAAACATGTCATGTACCCCTAAAATACCACCTTTAAAAATGTAACTTCTCCCTTGGTAAATCCACAGTGACTTGCATTAGCTTTATTTTGCATTTCCTTTTCAAACTAGATTTAGAGACCAGGTAAACATTGGGTGACTAACAGGCTCACAACTAAATTTAACACAGGAATTGCACAATTCTGGTGGCATCTTGAAGACATTACCAGTCTGGAAGTCTTTGGAACGTTCCTAAAATACATTGGGGTTTTGCGTGTGTGGGGTTGTTTTTAAACATTTCATTGTAAAAAGACCCAGTGAAGGCAGTTAAGACAACAAATACTTAACACTGCAGAACTTGGGGCAGCTTCTGGAAGATTCATTTTTGTGTGTTCCATCAGTGGCTTCTTTAGGAAGTTTACATGTATGTGTAAAAAGTGATAATCAGAAGTTGTACAAATAATAGCTATGCATCTGTTGAGCAGATAGAAGGATAATCAAAAATTATTTAGGAAAACTTTGATAAGAACTTCTTTTGCTGAAAGCTTTAATATGAAAGGTACACCCAAACTGTCATTTAACATTAAAGCTGTGTTGGGTTACTGTGGGGAAACTGCTGCCAGTATTTCTCACTCCCTGATAAATTACTGTAAGGTATTAACATTCTGTGATGTTGTGTGTAAGAACTAATACTGAGCAAGTAGTAACAGATTTAGAATATAATCCTGTGGGATAGGACAAGGATTTGATACTTCCTATAGTTGGAAGTACCACTTGTCAGGTTCGTGAGGCTCGACCTGCACACACTGATCATACATTGCAGAAACAGGGAGAAGACATTCAGAGTGACACAATCTGTCCATACAAGCTGACAGCAACTGTATTAACTGGGCTTTTTTTCTTTTTTTTTGGCAAGTACAAACTGTCTCCAAACCAGAATCCTGCTCATTTCATGAATGTCTGTTCTGTAATTCCCTGACCAGTTGCACTTCTTAACATAATGTGACAGCCTTGGAGATTTCAAGAGTTAACATACAGGTAAAGAAAGCCTTGCTACAACAGATTGGAAATCATTGTACCTGTGGTCACTTTTTTAACGGGTTCTTTAAAGTTATTTTTGCTTGCCAGCCCCTAAGAGAAGGCATGTAAGAAATCCAGAAATACAAACACACTGCTGTAACCTGAGTGTACGGAATGCAAACGTGTGATTATTGCAACTGTTCATGATAAAAAAAAATGCAAAAGCCAAATTCTAAGTAGTTTAAAAATCCACAAGCAGGTTCATTGGTTCACTGTATCCATCTCCAGTGTCTTGAAGGCACCACCTACTATGCTTTTCCTAATAAAAGAAGGATTTTATTTCCACAGCAATATCTTTTCCTACAGTAAATACAACCCAATTTGAATGTCTACCAGGGCTGCAATTGGCCAAAACCCCCCATACTGTTACTTACTCACAGAGTTTTCAAACTTTCAGTGTGAAGGACTTCACTAAAAATTGTAAACAAAACAGTAATTAATATAAACCAGCTCCTTCTGGCTCTGGTTAATCTGCAATAACAAACCCCCTAAAATTAGGAGACCCATTGATGCCCTGACACCAAAATACTAGAGAGAAAATTGGCTTCTTTTTGTTCTATGTTGTTATTTTGGAGTTCCCCAAAACAAGAGATGACCAAACCCAAGGGTGTGCCCATTACTCAGATGAGTTTAGTTTACTGACACACTGGTGTTCCTTATAATTGCAGTTTTGACCCTTTCCTTGGCATTTCCAGTGAGCCAGAACACAAACTAACATAATGTTTGTGTCAAAAAAAATCCCATTTGTCCCAGCTCTTTTAGAAACACATTTAGGAGAAATCAAAAAATGCTAAACTAAGTGAGGTGAAATTTTCCAAACTGCTTGGCATAATATTAACTTTGAAAAGCTACAGCTGCAGTTTTAACTCAGAAAGCCTGTGCAAGTTTTACTAATGGCTTCAACAAGAAAAGAGAGCATGAACTTCGAGAGAAACGAAGCATCACATTATTCCATCCAGCTCTGTGATGGAGAACCTCAGTTTATCTGAGCTAAAGCTTGGGCTCGTCAGACACTGGTGGATCACTCCCCATATTTGTTTCACTTATGCTGGATGGGACCTAAACTGAACTTGGGTCAGCACTAAAGGACAGTTCAAGGGAGCAATTAAAAAAAATAATAAAACTTGGCTGAGTTTGTGTCCCTGTCCACCCCCAAGATCTCTGTACATTTGGCTTCGTGTTTGACTATTTCAAACAATCCCATTGCCTTCACTTTTGGCCCCAAAGAGCTGCAGCCACAGCAGCAGCCCCTGCTCCCCTGGATGCACAGCTGGGCTGAGGGGAGCATGTGCGGTGCCTGAGCTCGTGTTTCATCCACAGACCCCACTGAGAGCAGGAGCTGCCTTTGTTTTTAGCATATTGTTGCAATGCATTATTTCTAAGTGTGGTGTTCCTACTAAGCTGGCAAACTTTTCAGTTACTTTGAGTGCTGGAACTTCGTGTGAATAATTCCCTACAGATTTCCCAAACCTAGCACTCGTTTGTTGGAAATTTTTGTATGCTGTGCAAAGAGGCAAGCATGGGATCTTGAGTTTCTAATGATAATTAACTACTGAATTAAAGGTTTTAACCCTGAAAAACAAGGAATTGCCCCTTTCAGCACATGAAGCTTCTCCATGAACACAAGTAATCCTACAAACCAGAGAAGGAATGATGAAGGCATGTTCTCTAGAGCCAAGTAAAGAGAGCTCAGAGTGAGAGGAGCTGACACTCACCAACACTGAACAGTAGGCAACTGACATTTAATACAAATATTTTGAGTTATCCGAGGGTCAGAACAGCTCATCTTGACTTTGAAGTGTGACAGAGTGAAGAGCAGTGCACACAGTGCCAGCCCCTCGGAAATGAGCGTGCTGGGCATTACCTAGGTGAGAAAATCTGGCCCCTGCAAGCTGTGCCACAGCTATTTGTGTCCAAAATAACAGCACAATTAAGGACAAATCCCTCAACAATCTCAAGAGGTAGCATAGAGATTTTTATGTTCCAGCCTCTCTTTCCTCAGCATTTCCCTGTGGCACTTGCCCATCAAAGCAGGTGACAGCTGAGATTAAATCCATTGCTTTTCTACTGGACAATGATAAGAACAAGCTGTGAACAAGGAGCTACATGGAAACACTGGAGTGAGCACCAGACAGAGCTCTGTGTACATGATTTTGTGTGAGAAAGTGTCACTCACTCCCTGTTCCCACTCAGCACTAACAGTCTAGTGCAGTCATGTTTAATACCAGAAGGACCTGAACTCATCACAACAGGACCTGCCATTGTCAGCCCTTGCACCTGACATTTGCTATCACTGGACTAAGGAACACTTTTCAGTGCTGGATTTTTCTTGTGACCGAGGTCTTGTTTGTCACAGAACACATGGAAGGAATGTGAGCACTACACTGCAGCCAAACTACAGCTTGTTCATTTTGCTCTTCTCTAATATGCCTTCTAAGGAGGATACTGCACCTATTGACATGCATTTCCTGAGGCACCTGCTGTTTAAGGTTACAACTTTTAAAAAGTCTACTTTCATATAAAATAAAGAAGCTCTTAATTCAGTATGTTGTATTTAGGGATGTTGTTCATATAGATTCTCTAATAAGCATCCTAATGCCAAGAGCTGATCAAAGCACTGAGCTAACTTTGGGTTACAGAACCAGCATAGCAGGAAAGAAGAAAGGGTCAGTTAAAAGTACGTCAGCTCCACCTTTTACTCGAGTATTTCCTGCTGAGTGCACAAAAAATGCCATTTCAAGAACTCAAACTGCCTTTTATTACACACTGGAAAAATTTTTTCAAGAGCTTGTGTATCCAAGTTTGAAGGAACATGACAATACTGTGAAATACCAGCTGAGTAAGAGACTGGCTGGCAACCCCTGCTCACACAGAGCCTGGGACCCTCGGGCAGCTCTGCAAGGACACTGAGCACATCACTTGTTGTATTCATGGACAGCTACAAAACACAGCTTTTGCATTGTGTTTCAGTGAATTTTCAGGAATGCTGATTTCATCCTCTGGTGTTACAACCTTCCCTTGGACCTGCTTTGTTGGGTGGCCAATTCCATGAGTGTCACAAGAAGAGTGGTTGTGTTGGAGCATTTACAAAGTGCCTTAGAAAAAACATTTATCGCTGCGGCAGTGCTCAGGTTTTTGCTAATTTTAACAATACTTGTATGTAGCTTTTTTTAATATGTCACAACTATAATGCAACAAACAAAAATTCTGTGATTCTGTTTTCTGTGCTAACTGCTACCTAGTGGAAAACAAGTTCTACTCTACTTTTCTGGACACTTCCATATATATTATGTAGGTATTTGGAGCATGTGCATGCTAAAGTGTATAAACAGATTTAAGGTCTAAATCTGTACCCTTTTGCCAGAACATGAGCTTGAAAAAAAGGCAAATTAAGTAAACAGTCAGAAGTAGATACTGTTTTTCTGGTACTCCATGACTATATTGTGCAATATTGTTTTCCAAGCTCACTGTTATACAAGTAAAAGCAATTCTGTTCGGTTTTGTTGATCCTCAGCTACTGTATGACATTTGCTTTTGGAATGGTTAGTCTCAGCAGGGCATAAATTAAGCTTCCAGCTGTCTTTCATTTTGGATATTAGGAAGCTCATCTGCTTGTAAGTTTTGCTACTAGAATGTTCAACTTGTGCAGAACAATGCCCTAGATTTCAGCAATTCTTTACTTTTTTTCCAAAGCTTCAAGACCTGTAAAGAAAAAAGGATGTTAACAGAGGACTGTTTCCATAGCATGCCTGCCATCTCAGATACCCTGAAACCCTTTTCTCCTTTATTGAAAGAGAAATTGAATTATCTGGGAGTCCCAACTTCATGATGAGCATTGCATTTAACTCTTCTTCCTCTGTGACCAAGTGGCAATAATTCCTGTAATTGCAGGATATTGGGTTTCAGGCACATCTGTCTGGAAGTGGAAATGTTACATGAATTCTTCTAATATGAGCAAGTATCTTAGGCAAAGAGATATATTCCATAACCACAACAGCTAGATTTGTTCCAAAAGGAGTTTAACGTGGCAATACTGTCACTGAAAATAATAACAAACACTTAGCTTGACATATTTATTTTTCAAGGTCAATAAATAAATGTAAATACACAAATTGGGAAAAAATCTTAATAACAGAATGTTTTTAAACAACATTCTGGCTTTAAAGTCTCTGTTATTGACACTATTGGAATAGTTTCTCAACTGCTTAAAATAGCTAAGTGATTATGTTGGTGATCCTCCATCACATTAATTTGTTTGAAGAAGTTAGGCTGCTGCAAAGGAAAAAAGACATCAACCTTTGCTTTGACATAGAAAATGGTCTGAACTGCACACATTAAGTATTAAAATTACTTTTCTGGGTGTGACTTTTCTAAAGAAGAGACATTTTAAAATGCACAGTTTGCATTAAGACCTCCTACTGTTCATTACTTCATCATTATAAAAGGGAAATTGTAACAAAAATGAAAAAAAAAAACAAACAAAAGAGGAAAAGGCATGGAAGAAAAGTGATAAAAATTGGCCCTTTAGTTAGTAAGACATTCTTCCTTTATCTAATTTTCATTCTAGGTAGATGACAGATGTGTGTGATGGCTGGTTCCCATCACTGCAGCAAGTGCTCCAAAGAATTTTAAAACAGCTTTTTACCGATGGACTCTCATCAGACACCAACAGACCCTCTCCAAACTCCTGAACCCAGGAATGTCCCATTCCACCTGGCTGCCTTAGCTCTCCCAGGTTACTGTGTGTGAGTGCTAAGGCTGAGAGCCCAGGAGAAGCAGCCTTTTTCAAAAGTATCTACATATTGCTAAATAGAAATTTTTATCAAAAGGTTCAGCAAGAAGGTAAATTGTTACTGATTTCATGGAAGTGGAGGAAGATTTGTGGTTCCCTCAAAATTCATCAAGTGTTCGGTTTCTGCATTCTATAAATACTACAAGACACAACATGTTTATTTGGTTCCCATAAATTAGAAAAATCTGGTTTCCAAAAATTCTAAATTAGTGATTTAAAAAACAAAATATTACACCTGACCAGCTTCCAACCCATCTTAGAGAGCAGCTTCACTGCTCTCTCACCCTTCAGAAGTGTGCTTATTTTAAGAATACACAATTTATAAAACAAACAAATAAAGTGTGTTTTTAACTACAGTACACTTGCTTAAATACACAAGTGGACACGTTAACGTCATGTTAAAGTTCAAGGTACTTCTGGAAAAAAGGCAGATAGTTAGTTATTTTAACTCTGCATTCTTATATAGAATATAAGGATTATTATAGACCTTAGTTTCCTCTCATCATTTATCTATCATATGGAGAGGTCAATAAATAAAAGCTTATCTGGTCCAGTTTACCTACAAGAGAAAAAATAATAAAGAAAAAGAAGTTACCTATAAAATTACTTGTTTAACCCTGATAACATCTGAGTTGCCATACCCAGTTTGTAATTGCAAGAAAAGCAAACAATATTCATCTTGCTTATTAATAAATGCCCCATTTTTGTATGACAATTTCTGTGTGATGCCTATCAAGTCACATACTCTTGGGGCAAGAAAGCTGGCCAGGAGATGCAGTGAGAGCAGTAACAGTATAAATCTGGGTTCAGAAAAAGAACATACCAGATCCAGAAGCAAAGAAATCTGGACACACTGAGGAGGCAGTGCCCAGCTGTCACTTGGGCTCCTGTGTCATGAAGACTATACCCAGCCTAAGATATAGCTTCAGAGCAGGGAAGGAACACAGAACTCTGTTGTGCTCGTGTACAGACTTCAGGGAAAAGCCTTGCCCCAAATGAATGCCCTCCCTTGTTTAGAGCAGAAGAGAAGATAGCTTACTGACTGATGGACAGGGAATGGATGTCACTGGGACACGGGACTCGCCATGATTGGTGTGTTCAGCTACAAGGTGCAGTATTTTTCTGACTGACTCAAAGCACAGCCGCGTCCAACTGTGATTTGGGATTCCCTGGTGGGCAGCTCGCACTCCGACTTTGAAGGAAGTCTGTGATTGTAACAAAGTCACCCATCCTCTTGGAACAGGAACAAAATCCATGGGGTAATCAGGCACAGGCGGCGTGTAACAGGTTTGTCTTCCTTTGTACTCCTTGGTTTTGCTTCCGAGGACATGCACTGGGCTCCAGAGTGACCCCTGTTCTGTTACAAGAGAACACAGCTGTTCTTCTCTTTCTCCTTCTCCTTCTCCCGAGGCTCTTTCCGTTTGCGCTCGTTGCTCCCGGATTGTCTCGCGCTGGCTGGAGAAGCAGCACCTGGCACCTGCTGCTGTGGAGAAAAACAAAACTGTCAATAAACACATTATTGTAGAGGCAGCCTGAAGTGTTACTGTGTGTCCAAGTTCACAAACACAAGTTTAAATGTTCTGCAAACCAGCAGAATTCAGGTAAGGGCTTTTTTTATAAATACTCCAGAACCTCCACAAAATCCGCTGATTTCTAAACAATTAAGTCAGCTGGAAATACATTTCAAGGCCTGTGTGTCCCTTCTGTTGTGTCCACATATTTAGATGTTGTTTCAATAATAAAATAGAGCTTCAAGCATTTTCTGGCACTTCTGTGTTACTGTACTGGAATTTTTTCCCGATTTCTTTTATAAGAACATAATCCACATTTCAGAATTTACAGAGTCAAAGTGTTGGTTTTGACAGTGAGATATGGCAAAACAGCAGCTTTTTGTGACCAGGAACTCATTAAGAACTTGGCAAGGGGGTTGGCAGACAAAGGCAACATAAGTTTTGTTAATTCATCATCTATTCCAACTGTTACCCGTTCACAGCTGCAAATGAGCAGCAACCTGTTCAGCAGGTTCTTCAGTTCTTTCGACCTTTTTTCAGCCAGCAGTAGTGAATCTGTGTCTTAGAAGCAGCTACTCGTGGTTCTATTAAAGCAACAAGCAGTGGAAATAACACAACTTTTAACTGTCAAAATTCTTGTTTCATGCTTGTCAAACATCAGATAATGGTTCTGAATTGCTCCAGGCCAAAGTTTCAGCCTTCATACACATCATTTCTTACATATTTGTAAATAGAAGCAGTTCTAAAGGTCTTCAGTTGTTAAGAACTCCCTGAATCCAGAACACCAACTTAAACATTGCCTCTTGCACAGAAGATTCAGTTAAATTGCATTTTTGTAGATACCTGTGCATGAATCCCATTTTCAAAGCATTTTGAAATCAGCTGCTTATGGTGGGTGTGGGACAGAAAGGTGTACTGGGAGAAACTGTCCACTGCCCAATTTGAAATGACTGAATAGATTCACATGATATCATAGACAGAACCACCTAAAAACATTCAGCAACAAACTTCTGCAAGACAAAGCTTCAACTGCTATCAACAAATTCTTATTTGAATGCTCTTTAGCAAGTAATGTAAAATACCAGCTAACACCACCTTTGTAACCTTACATATGAACTCATCCCATCGTTCCAACTGGGATGAAATGAATGAAACCCCAGTTTAGAAGGTTAGGGCAGCTTTAAAGCACTGCAGTGTCAGCAGCTGCTGCATCTCCATGCACACTGCAACAACCAGCACATTCCTAGAGACTCCTGTATTCCCCTTGACATTTGCTGTACAGGATGTGAACAGTCTCACCAGGCTGAAACATGGACACACACAGGTTGTGTCTGTGCAATTAAGGTAGTACTCTCTCAAATTCATGATCATATTCTGTAATGCTGCTTTCTTACCTGGACCTGAGCAGCTGCTTGTTCTTGCTCCTGATAGTACTGAGAAGCTCTCCTGTCCTCCTCTTCCTGGAGCTTCTTGGCTAGTTCTAGGTCACTGATTCCTTCTGGGATCTGTTCCCAGTTAATCTCTTGGCTTTGCTGCTCTTGTTGTAGAGACAATGCCATCAGATAATCCTAAACAGGAAACTTGGTTATTAATGCTCTTTCACACAGAAAAGAGTCAAGTCACATCAAGTGAAATTTTCAGCACGTGCTGCTACACAGCACCATCCCTCTTCTCCCAGCCTTATCTTCAAAGGGAAAACAGGAATTTGTTTCAGAACCATTCCATAACCTCAACTGCACAACAGCTGCTTTAGTATCTCCTCTCACAGCACCTACATCCCATCAGAGAAAACACAAAAGCTAATTAAAAACCTGTGCTTTCAGGTTTATATTCCATTACCTGAACAGCAGCAGAAGACAGTGCCAGCTCATACGAGTTCTAGGAAGAACATTTTGAAGCTGTCACTTTGTAATTTTCTCTAATTAACACTCTGATTATGCTTGACGGAGTATCTGTCCCCACTCCACTGAACAATGCTGGGAATACATTAGGAACACCAACTCCTCAGCAGATGAGAAAATCAAGTGTAGTTTTGCATATAACCAAACAGCAACTCAAAATATTACCAGCCCTGTTACCTCTCCCAGACTTTTATTCTGCAAGAGAGATGCAGTGCTTGAATTTATTAATAAGCATCTTATTAATATTCCCCCCAGTATTTAAAAAACATTAATGCTGATAATTATGAACTTATGCTTGTTCAGAATGTAAGAACTCCAAGGAGCTTGGTCTTGCCATGCACTTGTGCATGAACTGGTCCAACTCAGACACGGGTTGTACCTGGGACATGTGCCCCACCTCAGACATGACTTCTGCCAACTCTGGATCTCACCAAGAGTAACAAACACCCACCACAGCACACAGTGCTGAGGGGTTTGTCCTACAGTCAGCCAGTGGGCAGAAGGCAAAGTTCAGTCATGACAATATTCATGAGCTGAAAGGTGTTTGTTGTGGAGGACAAGTTCCACAGTCTGGTTCTGTTCCCATACACAAGGCACATGGGACATTTCCAAGTTTTTTGCACAAGTGGATTCCAAGAGATTAAAATAGTTTTCCAAACTATTCAGTTGGTCTCACTGAAAGCATATTAATACTTTCAAGTAGCACTTTGGAGAAGCCCAACCTTATTATCTAAAGGATATTTGACAGTCCCATACATGCATGAGTACACACCTGTGTAATTATACTCACATATGACTAAAAATAAGTATTAACTGTTATATATAGCCACAAGCAAACAGAAAAATACCCCAGAAAGGCAGTACCTGATCTATTTGATCCTGCTGCCCTCTGTAGACTGTCTCAGGGTCTGATGGAGGCCGTAGGTGGAATTCAGAGTCACAGAAATTGCCGTCCCCATCCACGTTGTGTAAGCTTTCCCAGACAACCTTCTCCTCTGTAAGAAAGCCCTGGTCTGTCACCAGCAGGTAAAGCTGACCCTGTGCAGAACAAAGAAAAGGTGTAAAACTAAAAAAATTACCTTTTACAATCCAAGTGGCAGAAACAATCAGGTAAAACAAATGTTGCGTCCCAATAAAACGTTCATTGAGAGTTTTGAGCAAGTTTAAAAATTAAATGATTAAGCTTACAGCATTAAACAACTAGTATGCATTGCTAAATTAACAGCCATACAATTTCTGTATTCCATCTTGTAATTTTTCCTTCTTAATGAAAGTTCATATTGACTAGAAATTAATATAAATGTGAATATATATAAGAACAAATATATTGATAAACATCAAGCTATATACCTTGATAGCTCCTTGGAAACACACCTGGCAATGAAAAATTTCAGTCCCAGGACAAATCACATTAAACTCCAAGGGTAAGACAGGGAGACAAAGGTGATCTTTCCACATAATCCAAGAGGCATTACCTCAAAATGACCACATCTCAGACTTCATGGGTTAGAATAGCTTTTGATAGAATTTGAGGTCTATTTCAATTGAAAAATGTAAATTTAGGATTCCTGCTATGACTTGTCACCAAAAACTGCTTTTGTTGTCATTTTAATGTTTTTACAGTTCCATAAGGCCAAATTTCTTGATTTCCAACTCTGAAATTATAAACTGGGCTGGTCTGGGAGTGAAGGAGACAATACAAACAAGTTCAGATGCCAAGGCACAGGAAGGATGAAATGCAAGCTTAGGTTGAAGGAATGGGAGAAGAGCTGAAATCAAGGGGAAATTACCAAAGCAGGCCTCAGGTAAAAGGAGATGGTGCTGCATGTTTGAGGGATAGCAAAGCAGCACAAAAAAATTCCCTCTTTAAATTTCTATTTAAATCAATCCATTTAATTTTATCCTACCCTTTTTATACTGCTTTGAAAAATATACTCCAAATCAAGAATGTCATTACTGACCATACAGCACATTAAGACTGAGGCTTCCATTAGTATTACTGAATGTACCAGATCAAGATATTCAATGCAAAACTTGTTGCAGTGGTTTAGCTGTAAAAATCAAAGCAGTTTATTGTGACATCCACAAAAACTTACTACCTGTATTACAGCAGCACACAAAGGGTTCTCAAAGATCACTGGGCTAAAGATGTACCACAGCAAGAGGCAGATCCTGTCCTAATGATTTCACAGATTTAACAGGCCAGAAGTGGAAACATCATCCATATTCAACACATACAGGATGAGCTCACTGATTTCTCTTCAGCCATTAAACAACTGTCTAAAAGAGATGCTGAAATGACCATCAGATCTCTCCAATCCCACATGTTCACAGCCATCCCTCCTGCCACTGGGAGGGCACAGCAGAAAAAACAGGATTTGAAGACTCACATGCAGCAGTTATTCTAATAGGACCTAATATCATAAGATGCACTTGTACAAAGAGCCGAATAGAACAGATAAATAACTCCAAACAAAACACAGACAACACTACTACATGTTCAAGCTTCGGAATGGAAGTTACCCCTACAGACATAAATACAATTGTCAGCAACAAGTCTGACCACATAACATGATCTAAGGAATCACCTTTCCCTTGGAAACCTGCTTAAAAACTGAATGTGACTCCTGATGCTTAAAAATCACCCAAGAAAGCAAAAGGATGTAATTTCAGAACATTTCCAGTTTGCACAGAATACCTATTTCACAGCAGCTCATATATAAGATGACTTTAAAAAGTTGTAAAAAAAAAATAATAAAATCCCAGAATGTTTAAGGTAAGTGTATTTGAACCTTTTAAATTTTATTTTGACCAATATATTGATTCAAACAAAACCTAAAAAAGGTGTTTGTGTGTCAGGTTTTCCTCTATTATGCCACATATTTTTAATTACTTTGTAAATAGCCCATAAGCTGTGTAGCTTAGTAATAATACTGAAATAGGAAAATGTTACTGCTTTCACAATCTCCAAACTATTACAAAATGAGTTTTTCTACACACAGATATTAAGGTGTATCATTGCCTTGATGGGATTAGAATCCAGTATCTGTCATCCAAAGACAGTTTAGAGCTAACAATTGTTTGACATAGAGAACTGTTTCAATCAAATAAAATTCATATTTTTCCTTTGTTTTTAAGACTTTCTCAGTTGAACTGTACCTGAACACTGATTGAAAAAAGTCACGTTAAATAATGAATTTAATACAGCTCCCTAATGAAAGGCAATAAACTGCATTGCTACCCCCAACACCTACACACCACCACTCTACTTCCAACACCAATTGCATGGTTTAAAACGTGCTGCTTCCCTTGAACAAAACCCAGCAAACCAACAAACACGGGCTCCCCAGCCCTTGGCAAGAGACAGAGTTCCTGTTCAGTTATTGGAATGAAAGAACAATGGGAAAGCACAGGTCAGAGATCCAAAGTCATCTTTCTTTTGTTTTTTATCAAGTGCTCTGATCTCTACTTTGTCTCAGTATAATTTAAATGAATTTCTCAAAATACCAAACAGGACCCTCACAATATTGTAATATTCATTTTTCGCAATAATTGGACAACTTTCATACACAAAGGAAGAGGAGTCAGCTCTTTTTCTCTAAAGTATATTGTAGCTACTCATCTCTACAGACATCAATCTTCCAGGAACTTCCATGGTTCTATTCCTTGTAGGTGCCACAAGCAAAGGGAGGCCATGTCTCCAGGCTGGTTTTGCAGGCACACTGTTAAAGCCACGCATGTTCTCTTCCCAAAGGCTCCCAGGCCACCTCCACTGGCACAGCCAAATTCCACCCAGGGGATCTTGTGATTCCAGAAAAACCTTTCATCATATGACCTTCACGCTGCCTCTAAATTTGAGCTGCACTAAATAAAGCCCTGCCTGGTGCCAGGAACCAACCACCCTTCCCCAGCACTTGGCAGATCATGGGATCAGCCTGGCTGCTGGGAGACAGGGACACACCACCTACACCCGAGTGTTCCCAGCTCCACACCGGCACCCCACCAAAGCTGCTGCACTCCAGCTCCACTCAGGGCAACGCACGAGAAGAACAAGGGAATCAGGAAGAATTATTGAGTGTAGAAACACTTATTTACACTGAACTAAAAACCTAGGAAGGAGGCTTTAAAAAACGTAAGAACAGAACGTGTTTACTACTTAACAGATCATGGTTCTGATTCCACATCTGCTTTCTAGCCCGAGGTAAAGCTGAAACAGGATGATCAGCACACAGGTCATGCAATGAAGGTAAACAATGGATATAAATATGTTTTTCAAATACACCTTGCCAGGGACAGTACCATGTTTGACAAAATGTTTCTACCTTCATAAAATCTGAACTGACCGTTTCTAAACTATTACCAGCTTATCTTTTAGATTTATTTTTAAATGTGTGGGGTTTTAATAAATACCCAGTCTCCTGGGCTAACACTGCCCCCCCAAAATACAAGCACATAATATACAGCAATAATATCTACTACTAACTGTTGTCATTAGGGAGTAAAACACAAAGTCTCAAGTGCATAACTATTGCAATAAACTGTGTCTACAACAAAGTTATGAATAATTATTTATCCTAAGAATCAATGTCTAGATATTGTAGACCAATGCCCAGATTTTATAGTTTCGCATATAAAAACCTTGAAATAAAGCTAAGGATAAAAGCAAGATTATTCTGCTGAGCAATTGTCTCCTGGTTAGCACAGAAAGCTCTCTGAAATGCAGATTAGGCTGCAGGTGATGTTACTGGTCACTAGAGGACCTTTCCTGGGCTAATTTCATAACCAGATTAAATCATTAAAACTAATGCTTTTAAACTACTTGTTCTAATGCCAATTACCAAGTTACCAGCAGTTGAGAAAACTGAAAAAGAAAACCAAACACGTGTCCAGTAGTTTCATACAGTAAAGAGAAATAATTTAAGCCTTATCTCTTAAATTCTATGTAAATATTCTCTTGGATTTCTGGGTCAGACCCCTTGGTTTTTGTGAGGGTGTTTGAAGTTGACCTGAATGAGTGCTGGTTTTCTAATATTAGTCTATATAAATGCTTTAACTGGTAGAGAAAATTAAGGCTTTTTTAAAAGCATACTCCATTTGATTCAACAGAGTAACCCTCAAAATAAAAACTCTACACTTACTAAGAAATGAAAAAATATTTAACCATGTTTCTAAGCAGTTATATCCACTGCCTCTACTGTGCCAATATTAAATGCCCAAGAAAAAAAGTACAATTATTGCTATGAAATATACTTTGTATTGGAATAAAAGTCTCTGCTGAGTTCTGAGGCAGAAACCTAACATTTATAAACTAGAAAACACACATACTTAAAAATCCAAACAGGTGTCTTGATATTTTTCAGTAAAGAAAACAGGCTCTATTACAAACAAGTCGGTGGGAAAAACATTCCAACTGAACTAAGATCTTCTTACCAAACTGATCCCCTCTTTACAGTCCTGTTTTTCCTTGATCTAGGGAATTACCATTTGATGTATTTATTATCTGCATAATGAAAAGCAAAGGCAAAAAAATAAAATCACATTTTTAACTCCTGAAAATTATTACTGCATAATCACATGAGCCAAGACTATTAATATGCAATTAAAGGGACAGGAAGTAGAAAAATAAATACTTGGGCAAAAGGACAATGTATCAAAATCCAAGTCCTTTCACTAAAATATCAGCCTTAAAAAAACCCACACTGAACTTAAAAAAAAATCCCCAGTGTACAAGTCACTGTCTCAGTTGTACATGAAAGCTGCCTAATAAAAGTTTAAGCATTAGTTTCATTAGAATAATAATTGCTAATTACTCAAAGGGTATTTCTAAAAATACATGAATTTTATTACATGGACATAATTTATTAAATGTGTAATTCCCTTTTCATTAACTTTGTAACTGCTTTGTTTATATGTTTCCATATATTGGTTTGGAGGGACAAGAGGGAAAAGCAGTGTTAGAGAAAGACAAAATAATGGCATGGTTCTTGTCCTAAAAGTTCTACATTTCCTTTTCTCTGATATATGTTGTGTCTTCATTTTTCCTAACTGATGGACTTCTGGACTTTCCACAGTCCAGCTGCAGCTGACTACTGCTCAAACTCCATCTGCAGAACGAGCATTAAAAACAGTGAATGGAAAGAATAAAGCAGTTGAAAAACCTCAACTCTGTGGCAACAATGCATTTGGCACTCCCATGAGTATGTTGGAGCTTCACAATTTCTGGAGAGCTGATCTTGGCTAAAAGCCCAAGTCAAGGCTGTTTCTGACTTTCTTGATGTGAAAGATCACCTAGTCACACCTACTGCAAACAGCTGGGCAGGTCAGATGCAGCCAAAAGAGTTACTGCTCTATGGCCTTTACATATAAACTAAAAATTATTTTCTGTCTTCATTAAAAGAGTTTCTTGATATCTCAAATTCTGTAATGTACCACTCACCAGAAATCCAAAGCAAAATGAACACTGTTTAAAAGCAAGAACCTCAGGAACTAAAAGCCTGAAGATAACACAGAAATTAAATACTAGCTGCAAGTGTGGTCACCATATTGACCATGAAAAACAAGAATGGCCCATATTTCAAAACTCAGCATTTCAGAATTCTAAGATTTCTGAAAAAGGACAAGATTAAAATCCCTGTGACTTAGCAGCAGTAAACCTTAAATACACAAACAAATAATACTGTTCTTCAAATATTTTAACTCAGTATTTCTTAGGATTTGGATTTAGTTCTTACAGGTAAAATTCAGACACAGATTTTTACTCGCTGCTTTAACCTGTTCTATATTATGAATATTAACTCATTGAAGTGTTGCATTTTACTTCCCAAAGGAAGAAGGACTTCAACTGAGAAGTACGTGTTTACAACTATGAAGCTGATAAAGCACAGACAACACACCAAGTTTGGGCCTTTAATCTAAATACTGAGCTGCAGAAGACTACAAACAGTCTACACCTTACAAAAACAGTCTCTATTTATAAGCCACAAGGTCAAAGTAATACTCACTGACTGTACTTAATATAAGTATTTTAGATTTTAGAAGTTTTAATAATAGCACAAAAAGGCATGGTTTCCTTAAATATTTTATCTGGAATATCCTTTAGATGAAGTAAAGGGGGTATCCTGCATCTCTAGGTACCATTTGTATCCAGAAAGTGCAGCTGTACTTTGATTTAGTATTTTCCTTTTTAAAACCAAGTGGCTTTGAGGTTGGGGTTGTTCCCCCTGCCCTCATCCCCCATAATAAAAGCAAGCATAAAAGAATGTACAGGCTTGATTCACAAGCTACTACCAGTTATTACAAGAACTAAATTTAGAAGAATAGAGAGAAGCAAAACTGTACTTAAAATTGTGACTTAAATGAGCTGCCTCAGGAAGTATAATGTTTGACCATAAACAGACACATTTCATAGTTTTTTGGTTTTTAAATGGAGGAAGGGAGGAGAAAGCTCCTTTTACCTGCCCTACTGCTTTAGGAGAGTGGCACTGTACAAAGATTTAAAACAGATCTCAGATGTGCTCTACAAAGCTATCAGAAAACCAGATTTGTTACCTGCCTGTAGAGTTAATAATTATTTATCAGGACTATTCAGACCTTTAACTGAGCTTGTAAGGAGTTATTCAAAATGCCCAAGATAAGCATTGACAGTCAAGAACAACAGAGGGAGAAAAAAGCACTAGTATGACAAATGAACAAGTGCCATTCACATGTGGGCCCTCTACCTTTCTGCATGTCACACACCTCTCTTTTTTCACAAATACAAGCATACATGCAATTAAATTCTTATTTAATAACATAATCAAAATATAATTTCAAGAATTCTATACAACGGTAAAAATTCAAATACTATGATCTTAGTAAAGGCAAAGTTGTTTTAGAACAAAGATGCTCAGTAGATAGCTGTAAACTTGCCAAGCCAGTGGCATCCATTCCATGGAAGAAGGAGTTCCTGAAGCACTAACCAAGTTGACACCTGCTTTTTGTATCCAGGAATACTCCTTTCACAATTCCCACCATTTTACTTCTCCAGATTCAGATTAAAAAATAATCTTTTTCCTAACAAAGGGAACAGATGTTGTAGCTCATCTCAACTTCTCCAAACATCTGGTATTTTGAACACCGTGATGGAGCTATTCATCTACTGGCCCAAATGTAAAGCAAAGTTTTAGATCCTCAGAAACAAGAAATTCAGTAAATTAACCTTATCATTGCCAATCACAAACTTCAAGTAAATTTAAGCCACGTAAGAAGTGTATGTCATTACACATAAGCACAAAGAGTTAACACAGGCAGCAAGCTGAACATAAAGGGAAGAGCTACAAGAAGATTTAAAGCAATAATGGATCCTGGTATCTAAACCACTGTAATCAATAATTCATAAGTAACGTTTGCTACAGACCTTACATTCACTGTAAGCCATATTTACATGGAACAAACTGGAATTTATTTCTACCTTAAGACAGCGGAAAAATCAAGATTTGCTTTGAAACAAGAACACGAAACAAAACAGTAAAGACAAGAATGTTGCATATACCTTGTATTTGGTCATGGTGCTAAAATGGTTGTTCCTGAAGAACACACAAAGCTCTCCCTCCTGGACAGCTGAAGTCAACTCACACAGTCCATGGTATGTCAATTGTGTAGCTGTGTTATTTAGAAACTGCTCAGCAACAAACCCTACAAAGCAACACACAATGTTATGCATGTCTGTTCCACACTTGCTAATACAAAAGCTGGTTACAACAGCAGTATTTTTCCTATCTCCCCCCCTACTAAGATGCCCCCATATTGCCACAAATCTAAGGGAACACATTCAGGGAGGAGAAAACAAGTTGAAAGTTCTAAAACCACAGCATTGTAGAGAACCCTCTCATGTTCAGAAATGCTGTATCCACTTCTAATACTACTGATTTTTTTCCTTGTTGTCACATACTATATAATTCGTATTCTAATTAGAGGAGATAATGCAGAGCTGAGCTGCAACCTGAATGCTGCCCATACCACCTTTCCATAAAGGGAATTTCTCTCACGCTTTTGAAGAAGTACATTGAATGGATCAAGGGAGTGCACCTGATTCTTGTTTCAGAAATTGCATCACAGAAGTTTAGAGGATAAGCACAGTGCTGTCTGCCAGCCCAGGGAAAGCAGCTCAGCAGGCAGGATGCAGCTCTTCACACTTGTATCTCTACATAGCAAGACCCACATGAAAAATCTGTAACTTGGATTTGTCAGGCTACTTTAATAAAGCATAAAAAATGTTACCCACCTTCACTAACCAGTTCACTGTTGTCTGACTGTTTACAAGAAATTATCTTCTCCACCAGCTGATTGTAACTGCAGTTACCAACTGCTTTTACTATGTCAGCAACCTGGAGAGGGAAGGAACAGCACACAGAACAGAGAACTTACCTCTGTGAAGGACAGAACACAACTGCAAGCCTATGGCAATTACTCATAAGAAAATAAGAGTTCAAAGAGAGGATGTTATCCCCCTTTGGTCTAGTATTTACCAGACCAAAAAGTTTTAGCCCAGAGTGTTACATATTTTGGTGTCTCAGATCCCATGTTAAATGTTTAAGTTAACCCTTAGCATCAAAAGCTGTTGCTAAATCAGAGGGAGGAGAGAACAGGGCATCATTTGGATCAGTGGGGCCAAGGGGGACTCCAAGGGGTAAGAGAACAGCGACTCTCACCAACAAGGCATGAAAAAAAATCTGAGGCAGATTATTCCAGCCAAACTCACCAATATTCCCCTAATTAAACAGTACCACTGTCCTGTTTGTTAAATAATATAATTAAAAATAAATTATATGTTTGTCAAACATGCAGTTCTCTCCAATCAATTCTACCATCCTTATTTCTCAAAAGCAGTGCCTAGTAAATCAGAATTAAAGAAAGGAGGAAAGTAACCTTGCATTCTTCCCAAGTGTTCTCTAATAAGCCTCCAAAAACTACGACTGGGACACTCTGTTTGGTGACTTATCTCCCTCAGAAAAACAATTCTCATTTACAGCCATAGAAGGCTTTTCAAGTAGTTTGATTATAGACCTGGGCTCTGCAAAGTTCCTGCACTAAAAACACACACACAGTCTGTATTCCCTCCTCAATTTTTCTCACTAGATTTACAAAATCCATTACCATAATCATTACTGACTTGTTAAAAATCTAAAATGTTCCCCTCCCACGAATAACATTCCCAATAACTTATACTCTGAGTTATTAAAAAAAAAAAAGAAGTTACCTGAGGATCCACTAACCAGCCGTGGTACAAGGGGATGTCAAGAAGATCAAAGACGATGCATTCAGGTGTGTATTCGAACACTCGAACACCTGTAAACTTCACATTGACATCCAGACCCGTCTGCAGCTTATGGAGAATGGCCATGGCATCACTCATGTTCTGACAGCACAAAAAGAAAAAAACAGGTGACCAAACAGAGCTTTGGACACTTGATGGTTACTCTTGCAACTCCTAATCACATAGTATTCATCGATTCAACACTTAAAAAAAACTGTACAGAAGGGGAAATCACCTAAACAGTTGTTTCAATGCTTATTTACATAATTCATTCTCCTTGTGCCAGAAGATATCTGAAAAATAAGAATTCTCCCCCCAATCAACTGTATCTGACTGTTTCTTCTTCTAGACCCATAAGCTGTTTTTAGGCAGCTCCTGTTGCTTTTAGCTCTATTTCCCATAGGCACAAGCCAGATGTTGGCAAGAAAATGGAATTATAAGGGAAGCTACAAGGGACTTTTCTTGAGGTTTCTTAAGTCCTGCCTTATAAGTCAAGCTGAAGTACTTGCCACTACATAATAAATGAACAAAACAAATATCTACACATATCCACCTGCCAATTCTAATTTCAGGGTTCAGCACTTGAAGTGTTGAACAATTAAGACTTTAATTTTTTTCTGTTTCATAAGAAAAGTTTGCTATCTTATTTTGGGCAGACCTTTAAATGGCCTGTAGATTCTATTGTGGAAACAAGTCATGAAAGTAGCACTTATTACAGCATTGATCCCAATGGAATCCTAAGGAGAATTATCAAGTTATGAAGAGCCAATCACACAAAGCAAAGATGAGCCAAAGAAAAAGTGCTTTGTGAGACGGTTCTCTTGGACCAACAGACAAGAAAATTTCCTGACACGCAGGAAAAAGAATTTTCCACCAAGTGAGAAGATTCCACAGAGAGTATCATTAGTAAGTATGTGCAGAAAATGCAGGGAAACTGAGGCACTTTTTGTTTGTTGTTTGTTTGGGGTTTTGTTGGGTTTTGCAACATTCTGTTGCTTAAGAGGAATTCAGGCTTGCAACAATGAGAACAAAAACCATGACAAAAACCAGAAATACAGTTTGGACAGGAGATGGAGACAGAAAAGATTCACAGATCAAGTTAATTGGTTAGAGACAGTGGCCTCTGTTGTCTTCTGATCCAGTACCTGCACTTGAGCATAGTTACAATGAATGAGTTTTAATGCTTACAACCCTTTAACTGCATTGTTCTGTCAGTGTTCTGTTACCAGGAAGGTAAAAGCTCCCTCTACTTTAGTACATGTTGCATCATCCTACTGACAATTTTGCTGTCACAAGATATAGAATTTAGCAAGATTTATAAGTAATTCTCAAGACTAGCTGAGACTTCTTTTAAGAAAGTTTTTATCATTATAATAGCAAAGCAAACCACCTGAACAAGTGCATGTCATTAGTAGGGACCAGATATCAAGCATGAAAAAAAACCAACTATCAGAGGTATTTTGAAAGAAATTTTGTTACACTCTTACTCTGCTAAAAGAATAGGAAGTCTATACTAAGTCAGCCACTAGTCATCACAAATTCAGATCATACATCTACAGACAATAGTTGCATTTATTTTGTAATGTTTACTTTGCAGATGAAGCAGGATTACATCAAACTGACCAGAAAACCACAGAAGTTTCTCACTACATTTTCAACAGTATCATTTCTACTTTAGCTATTTCTGCACCTTCAAAACAACTTAGAAGATTCCCAGAACAGAAGGTTTCTTTAAAATTACAATGAAATATTTAAGGTATGTGACATATATGCAGTAAACCCATATATTTGAGCATAAGAAAGCTATAGAGGTTGTACTTTCAGCAGGCATATAGTTTTCATCACCCTCCTGTACGTTGATTATAGTTATAAACCTTCTACAGCCGAGAACTGTGTGCAAAAAGCAGCCAATTTTGTTATTACAAAAGTGATTCCTATAATGTGACACAAATCAATCCCAAGTTACTCGATTTGGTTTTCAACACTGAATAAGAGCAAGAAAAAAAGGACTTAATAGTAAAACAGAACTAGCTTGAAACCTACCACCTATAAAAAACTCAAATCACTTTTCCGTGAGTTACCAAAAAACCAGCCATGACTACAGACAGAGCTGCAAAAACTTGCTCCAAGACAGTATGCACTGCATCAATATTTTTTTAAACTAATATCTTTAGCATAGAAAGACTTCCCTGATGATAAACAGTGGTCAGTTCAAATAACATTGCCTTTCATAACGTGGAATTAATCTCTTTTTGTCCATCACTATTAAGAACAAGACCTTTCCCTTGCTCAGTTTACACGCTCAGAGAAACTCTGGCAGGCAGCACAGAGCAGAGCACTCTGAAGACTTGTAAGAGAAGACTTCAAAAAGCAACCACCCTGTTATATACTTTTATTTGTACCTTTGTGTTACAGTTCCTCAAAAAAATCCAAATTCTTACATTCATAACAGGCAAAAAAAAAATCATTTTTTGTGTTAACAGATACTGAGCACTAACAGAAGTATATATAAATAAAATATACATAAAACAAGAAACTACAAACAATGATTTATATGCTTCTGTTTTTAACAAGGTGATAAATCCTAGGTGAGAAAAAGTTTAGTTTCCTCAGACATAAGCAAGTGTATTTTAGGAGCAGCTCCTTACCTGCTCATAGTTAAGTCTCTGAATTTCAGATATCTCTTTAGGTTTTGCGTCAAGAATATAGTCTCCTAAAGAAAAAAACCAAAAAATTAAATTTATTCCATACTCAAAGCTTCAACAGTTCTATGAACACTTCTGAATGAAGCTGATTGATAACAAATACCATCACTGAAATTTTTTACCAATGTAATGAGATAGCATTGTTTCATAACCTGAATCATAATTATGGAGTAAAATATCAGTATAAAAAACATATTAAAAACATATTAAGAAATTAATTCAAATGGCCAACATTGTTACCAAAGCAGCATTTCATAATCCCTGAATTGTTCAGAAATTTACCTCCCTCTGTACCTTAACTTAAAAACACAGAAAGGTCAAACTGTTCATGGTAAAATATGTAATTCCATAACACAAAAAGGCAACTACTTCTGCTGAGTGATACTAGGAATGTTTTGGGCATATGTTTCAGACACCAATAATTCTACAAAACTTGTGCTGGTTTTGCCTGGTGTAGAATTAACTTCCTTCCCAGTGGCTGGAATGGGGCTGTTCTGGATTTGTGCTGAACACAGGGATGATAATGGAGATGGTTTTGTTTCTGCTGAGCAGGGCTCACACAGAGCCAAGGGCTTGGCTGCTTTTTCTCCTGCCACACTGGCAAGGAAATGGGGGATTCATGGGAGGCTGGGAGGAGACCCAGCTGGGACAGGTGACCCCAGCTGACCAAAGGGATATTCCAGAGCATGTGGCATCACGCTCAGGGTATAAAGGGGGGAAGAAGGAGGCAGGGGGAGGACATTTGGGGTGATGGTGTTTGTCCTCCCGTTACAGGTGAGGGGGCCCTGCTCTCCTGGAGAGGCTGAACACCTGCCCATGGGAAGCAGTGAATTAATTCCTGCTCTTGCTTTGCTTTCCCTATTAAACTTCATCTCAACCCAAAGTTGTCTGGCTCCCAGTTCTCTCCCTGATCCTACTGGTGGGGGAGTGGGTGAGTGGCTGCTGGGGCCTGGTGCTGCCTGGGGCTGAACCACAGCACCTGCATTCCATCTCTGTCTGCAACACAAAGGGAATCAGTGGGGTTCAAGATTTACCACATCTTCAGAGACTAATAGCCATCTTCCAGATTTTATTACGATGTTTTTTGTATTTATTCTGTTGCTCCATTACTAAAAAAATGTTTCTACTCAAAGACAAATATCATTATAGGTTTCCTAATTTATAATCTTTTAAGTTAAAAGTGGTTGAAGTCTGTTTTGTTTGTTTGTTTTTTTTTCAGCTGAAGAAGAACCATGAGGCAACTGCTAATCCTGTTGACTGAATAGGAATCTAAATAATTTGAGCACATAATTTTGTTATTCAATTTAATAAGATAATTCCACACGCTAATATATGCCTTCAAGAAAGAATACACACTGGAATTATGCAGTGACTTCAGACAGTGTTATTCTATCAACACAATTACAAGAAATGTTTAGACACAGGCCAAAAGATTTCTTAGGACTTTTTTAATTACGTAGTTAACTTTTTTCTTCCACCAGAAGTTTCAGTGATTTGCTTCTGAAAAGAACAAGCTACATTCTTTACAAACAAAAGGAAAAAAAAAGAAAATATAGTAAGGTTTTTTCTCATGCTTAAAAAAATAAAATTCAAACCTAGTCTATTAAGTTCAAACATTTTATATTTTTTAGGCTACAAAGGGAAAGAACTGAGGTACCTACAGCTTAAGTACTATCACAGCTGCACTTTTAACAGCTGGGTCATGGGGAGTATTGAAGTTACAGCCCTGTCAGATAGAAAGAGCTGCAATTTTGCTGAACACTGACTGTGATAACAGAGTAGTGGCTGCAAATGAGACCCCAATCATCGACTACGTTAATTTTCTCTGTTATTTTAATTGGGTCACATTTCCAAGGATTAGAGTTACTGCAGACAATTAAAGACACAGTTGACTTACTACATTCTGTCAACTATAACAAACCAACAATATAAGAGACATAAGAAAGTTTACATCTACCAGTGTGTTGGTGTACTAAGCCATAGCAACTGCATCACTAGAGTAACCACCTAGGAAAGCAGGACAGAAAACTTCTGGAATAACTGAATAGTGTAAGTAGTTTTCTTGGATCACGAGTTCAAGTAAAGCTGAATAAAATAGTAAATAAAACAATTCTACATTTTTACTCACTATAAAGTATAATATACAAGTGAATACAATTTATTGTCATTACTAACCTAAGTATTCCATCAGCTGTTCAGCCGTTATGATTTCCATCATTGGTGGCAGCTTAATCTGTGAAAATAAAAGTATGTCTTCTTTAAAATGCCAAAACACTGCAATTTAGAAAGCATCAACATGGCATTTCTAGATGGAAGAGTTGTGATTACATTTGCCTCACCAATTTATAAGGCCATTAGTGTACTAGGACTGAGAACATTCCCAAGACCTCTACTAAGTAACAGCTACAAGAACAGATTAAAAAAAGGCACTTTGGTTTTCAGAAAAACCACGTGCACACAGCACTTTGTCTCACCTACAGCTCCCTGTACAGTGCTCCGTGCTCCCACCAAAACATTTCTCCAGCCTCCCCCTCCACTTCCCAGGAGCTCACACCACTCACTGCAGTGGTTTGACTGCAAGCACCCAGAATCAACAGACTGCGGCCACACCTAGTTAAGAAAATTTCACTTTCCTCAGGAAAGTCTTTGACTCTCTCTTGCATTATAATTCTTAACTGAGTACTAACTCAAAAGCCTCCTGCATACAAAGTTTGTAAAGGATCTGGTGGCAGGAGCTGCTGAGCCACAGAAGCCAAAGAATCGTTTGGGTACAAGGAAATGACCTCCCAGCCCCTCATCCTGCACTCACACTTCAAGGGTTTGGTTCAACTCCACATGGAGCACAGCAGACACATGAACTCGGTGGTGAAGCTTCCACTCCCCCCTTGCCTCACCTGTTCCCACTATCATCACCTAAAACCAAACACCTTGGCAGCAGAGTTAAAGCTAAAAGCTTCTTAAAACTCCTCCATCCACCACCCTGGGTACATGTTTTGGTTGCACACTTCCATTTACAGATCTCACTGCAGTAACAGCCAAAGCACCAACACATACAAAGACATATTTCTGGCAGCCTGAAGGAAGGATATTGTCTTTAACCACAGGGCACTCAATTTTTATCTGCATAAACATGAATTTTATTTTTCTAAGGTTTGGGGTTGTTTTTTTGAGGGGATTTATTTTTAATCTCTCTCTTCAGTTTTTAACCTTCTCATCCTATCACTCTCCAACATCTTACCACTGAAAGTCTAGGAAGTCTAGTATTTATTTTATTGGGGATTTTTTATCAAGTTCCTCAACGCCGGTCACCACTCTCCTTGACACACAGAAATACATGACATCTTGAAATAGAAAGACATGAGGTGAGACTGGTAACTCATGTTTAAGATTTAATAGGCTCCAACTACTTTGTCGGTTGTGGAGAGGAAGTAGAGAACCATGAGATGGAAGATCAATACACATAAAGCCTTTGATGCAGCATCCCAAACTCAGAAATACAGTACAGCAACACACTGCACTGTCCACATTGTGATGAAGAGGGTTTTCAGCCTGAAAACTAAGCTATTTTAATAACTTGAGAGGGAAAATGAGGTCTGATTGGGCTAAATCTGTCTTACCAATTTTAATCATATTTGACAAAAGGCAAATGTGTTAAACAGATGAAGTTTCATTAAATTTGGAAGAAGAAAGAGAGACCTAAGTTAATATGGCCTTGTTACTTATACTCTGGCTAAGAAATATGCCCATACTTGGGGCAGAACAGGCCACACAGCATAAGCCACACATTGATCAAGCCATACATGGTGAGCATAGAAAGAAGATGATAGTATTGGGATGTGGGAAAGGAAGGGAAAGAAAGTATTTGTTTGTAAAGCAGAAAGTCAGTGAAGCATAAATTCATAAGAAGGCCTAATTAGTTCTACTTATAAAAAACCCCCAATTTAAAAGTTATATGAATTAAACAAGCAGAAAAATCAGTCATGCACACATAGGCACGTGTTTTTTTAAAAAACATGTATTAAATGAGTGACAACTGATTGTAATTTACAAAACTTCTTAACCTCTTCCCAAAACTAATACTCAATAGGCTAAAGATTTTCATGATCTTTGATCCTGTTCATAATATTCACATAAATATAATCTATTGAGCCACGTAAACAACAGGACTACAGGTTTAAAAAGCTGCCTCTTAAACTTCCAGTTTGGCTTGGCAGCATTCCTAGCAAACACCAAGGTGGGCACAGCCCTGAGCTGGGTCTGGCTCAGTTCAGCTCCTAAGGCACAGCACTGTCACAGCACAGAGCAGCATCACCCACACCAGCTGTGCCTGCAGTGCTGCTGGGACCACAAACAGCACAGATGTGCCAGCATAACAGGAAGGGAAATTAGCAGGAAGGAAAACTGGTTAACGATTGCAATTCTGCCTCACAACTGTAATGCTAAGAATTTATTTTTTTCCTGCAGAACCAAAGCAAAGTGGTTTCATTCGTATCTGCACCATCTCTCTCAAAGTTGGATATTTTAACAAGCCAGTCTCAAAATTAACTGCTTGATTAAATGCTAAACAAAGTTAATTATTAATTTCATGGCATAATTTTAGGGCTGGCATGTGTCATGGGATCTTGATCACACCTTTAAAGTGGGTTAATGGGGTTTCCACACAGTTGTAAGTACTTCTGAACAGAGCTGACTTAAGGATATAGAGAGAACATGAACTGTTCAGAGCTTCACTGGGAGCACTTAGACTACAGGAAGCGTACAGTGAAGAGGAAATGGGAAAGAAAAACACCTTAAAACTCAAGAGAGAGTGAAAAATCATAGAAAACCACAATAATTCTCTAGACAACAGAAAAAAAACAATGTAAGCAACAGTAGTGAAAGCTGCTGTTGTCCATAATCTATTATTTTGAGGGGCACATTTTCTCAATAGGTTTCAATATTCAGTTGCTAGACTTTACATTAATTTCACATTTTAGGAAAAATGCATTTCCTCAATTCCCACCTATTTCCTGTACCCCTCTACTGCAGTTTCCTGGTCTTTCGCCCTGATGTCTCCTCCTAACTCTAGTTATTTGCACTTCCTACACTCAGGAGTGGGAATCTTAATCCTCCTCACCCACCTACCATGTGACATACAGCTGAGACACCTTTTTAATCAAAAGACAAGACTGGTAAACAAATTTTCATTTGGAACAGATTGTCTAATACAACTTGTACAGTTTCCAGGAACTAGACTACAAACCCAAAATCTATGTAATACTGATTTTCCACTATATTCTCTCAAATTTCAGAAGGGCTAAAAAAAAAAAAATTAAGTGATACAGTCCTGCACAGAAGATAACACTTCCAAAAATACTATGTACATAGAAAGGGACCAAGCAAACTTCTAATGGCTTATATAATAAGCCTTATATGAGACATATTATAGTCTCAAAACATGTTTATCTAAAACATGCAACTCCTCTGAATTCAGTGTTCCAGAAGAGGTAAGGGTGGCTTCAAGCAGCCTTGGCAAAAAAACAATTAATACTCTCTGCAAATATGCCCCCCCTGCCTTGCAGGAACAGCTTCATAACCTTGTCACACGGCAGCCTGACAGTGTGTGCTGATATCCTGAACGCCCCACTCCGCCAGGTTCCCTCCAGCCCCTCAGAGCAGGTTTCCTGTTCTGGAGAAGGCACAGCTCCAGTCCTACTGATTTGTGGGCTCAGCTCATCCCACAGATGCCGGGAGGAGGCTGCCAAGGCCCCCTCTGAGCATCCATCAGCAGCTCCTCCGGAGCCCGGGCCAGCCCGTGCGAGCAATCTGTGCAAACCCAGGCCATCATCCGGAGCTGCAGAGCAAT